CGCTCCCCACACCTCCATGCCCGGACGCAGCTCCCAGCCTTCCTGTCTTTGCAGAGAACTTTTCTGGGATCTACTGCAGCCTTCTGCCTCTGGGATGCTGGTCGGCTGACAGCCAGAGAGTGGTTTTCGACTCCACTCAGCGCAGCCGGCAGGTGAGGGAGCCGTGACTATGTTGAGAGGCAGCCCGTGACCAACCCCTGGCGTCCCGGGCCTAAGGTGTAGCATATACACACCTGTGGGTGAAACACCCAGCCACAAGGTCTCACCGGCCCTTTAAGGCCCTGCCTGCTACTGTCCTGGATTCACTTTTCCTTGAGGGGGTCTGGCTGCCCTGGTGGTCTCAGATGCCATCCTTGGTCATGGTATCCTGTAGCATCCACGACAGATTCCTTGGCCTTTTTTCCCCGTGGTATAGCTGTAATCCCTCCCTGAGGCACTTCTAGCTCAGGACAAGGGGACTGGTATGGGGTGGACCCCTAATTACTGAGATGGGGTGGAGGCCTTCTCCCAGGGATTGGGTGGGGACACCCACAGTGTGCCAGGCTCCTTTTTGGTGTGATACCATGTTGTCCTCATTCTGGCTCAAAGGGGCTCAAAGGCTTTCCTTCCCTTGCCCAGGAACACTTGGCAAGTTGCGGCGGGGCTAGGATTTGAACCCAGGTGCTCAGGCCACCCCCTGCTGTACTGAGTAGCCATCATCCTAGGTGCCCACAGCTGTGGTCTGGCGCAGGGGTCCCTGAGAGGAGAGAGGGGAGGTGGGGGTGGGACCCACAGGGCTTGCAACTACGCTGCCACCCACCGCCTCCTTTCTGCGTCAGGACCTGTTTGCTGTGGACACCCAGGCGGGCAGCGTGGCTGCGCTGACGGCGGGTGAGTGAGGCCACTGAGCGAGCTGGCCAGGCTGGGGTGGGCCTGCGGCTCGAGCTTGCTGGGCCGCAGCGGGACCCTCGGCCGCTGCACCGCTGACTGTCCTGCGGCCTTGTGGGCAGTGTCGCGGGGACCCCGCCCCTGCCCAGCCAGCAGCCTGCCTCCCCGGCCCCCCTCTGCTCCATTTGTCCTGGCGCAGCCTCGCATGGCCCCCGCCCCGCTGCCTAACCTACAAAGCTCCCTCCTGCCAGGGTCTGCCAGTCACCCCACCCCTCCCTGAGCCTTAGGCACAGGCAGCTCTGCCACCGGGGCCCAGGAGAAGCCCTACGTTGGCTCCTTCTTCCTCTTACCCAGGCCTGGTGGTTCTGCCCCCAAAATGTCCTTTTGAGTCCTTCTCCTGCCCTGACTCTACACACTCCTCCTCAAAGCTCCCAAAGTACCGTTCCTGAGCTGCATCTCACCATAGAGGTCTTGCTTAGGAATCTCCCCGGACCCCACTGCTCAGAATCAGGACTGCTCACCCCACCCCCACCCCCGTCCCCTGGGCCTTACTGCCACCGCTGCAGGCTGTGGCCATCCAGTGGTGATGGCCGTGGCATGGCGGTCTGGCACGTCCCCAGGTCTAGCTGTCCCCAGGCACAGCCAGCGTTGGCTGGATTAACAACGGTCTGAGCGGGAAGCTCACCCAGGGCCGTGTGCACTTGGGCGTTTGTGACAGTCCCTTTGTGAACATGCCGTTGCTTCTCAGGGCGCTGCCAGCCTGGGACTCGGGCCCTGCAGGGAGCTGGTGGGAAAGGTGGTGACCCCTGCCAGGTGCTTAGTGGCGTCTGCCTTCTCCAGGGGGCTCAGGTGGAAGCTGGAAGCTGCTCACAATTGACCGGGACCTCATGGTGGCACAGTTCTCCACGCCCAGCTTGCCCCCAAGCCTGGTGAGTGTTGGGGGTTGCCAGGCCAGGGGCGGGTGTTCTGTGCAGGCAGAGCCCCCAGGGCAGGGAACTGGCCCCGGAGTCCCAATACGGCTGGTCCGCATGGGAGAGGCTGAAGGTGGGCCCAGCTCAGCATGGTCCGTGGGGGTCTGGCACCCATAGGAGGGAACTGCCGGGCCAGGGTCTGCTTGGTACAGAACAGGGTGTCTGGGGAAGTGCCCAGTCCTCTGACCTAAGAGCACAAGGAGAGAGTAGCGCCTGGACGCTGAGCAGGGAGGGGCGTGCTCAAGTACCTCTGTGTACAACAGCACACGGCAGGAGTCCACCGGGCCATCCCCCCAGAGGGGCAGGAGGCCCAGCATTGTGAACGCTGCCCCCTCCCCACTCTGGTGGGGGTAGAAGGGCAGGGAGGCAGCCAGGCCCCACGACACCCTCTCTCCCCTCGGCAGAAAGTTGGGTTCCTGCCTCCTGCAGGGAAGGAGCAGTCGGTGGTCTGGGTGTCCCTGGAGGAGGCTGAGTCTATCCCCGACATCTCCTGGGGCATCCGGGTGCTACAGCCACCCCCAGAGCAAGAGAACGCGCAGTACGGTGAGCTGGGCCAGGGCATGGGATGCCTTCTCCAGGTTCCCGGCACAGAGCACTGTGGTCCCCGTCCTGCTCCTGCCTCGCACTGCGGGGTTTCTCGGGGTCACCCCGAGAGGTTTCCTTCTTCCCCTTTTGGGTGCTCATGGCGAGTGTAGTGTCCAGGCATCTGGCTGCCTGCTCTGGGCGTCGCAGCTGGGAATCCCCAGGCCAAGTCCTCTGCGGTGGCGCACCAAGGCCCAGAGAAGGCAGGCCCCACACGCGGCCCATGACCGCGCCTCACCCAGAATGCTGTCCTCACAGAGCGGGATTCCCTGGCGAGGGTGGGGGCGGGAGCGTGCTGGGGCCGCGTGTCGCTGTGTGGGCGCCCTCAGCCAGGCCTCCGTTCTGGAGGCCGGCCCCGGCCCTGCAGCCGCAGCCGAGGTCTTGGCCCGGGCGGGCCCTGGGCAGAAGCCCGGCTCTGCTGACTGCCGTCCTCCTGCAGCTGGCCTCGACTTTGAAGCGATCCTCCTGCAGCCCAGTGATCCTCCAGATAAGACCCGGGTGCCCATGGTGGTCATGCCCCACGGTAGGCATCTGGCCGACGGGCCCCTGCCCTCCCCCACCATCCCCGCTCCCCCCGGCTGCCTCTTCACCCTCCGCTGCCTGTCTGCAGGGGGGCCCCACTCATCCTTTGTTTCTGCCTGGATGCTGTTCCCAGCCATGCTCTGCAAGATGGGCTTTGCCGTGCTGCTAGGTGAGTGAGCAGGCCCCCGTGGCTCTGGCGGGCCTGGTTTGTACAAGCATGCTGGGGGCCGCCCTGGTCTCCAGGCCTCTCTAACCATGGTCAGGACCTGCCTGGTCCAGCTGCTGGCTCCATGGCGTGGCGGTAAGAGGGCCCCACATGGGACTCCTGTGGAAAGGGTGCTGTGGACACTGGGAAGCAGCCTCAGACCTCGTGGCCCCTTCTCACTGACCGTCTGTGTGCGGCTGGCCCCAAGGCCCGCTTCACAGATGGGTGTAACGGTGTCTGGGGGCTGGGACTGTCACTTGACCACCCTGTCTGGTCCCTTCCTGGCCTCCAGTGAACTATCGTGGCTCCACGGGCTTTGGCCAGGACAGCATCCTCTCCCTCCCTGGCAATGTGGGCCACCAAGATGTGAAGGACGTCCAGGTAGCAGGGGCTGGGGCTGCGGCCTCTGGACAGGCTGGAGGTGGGGTTGAGGGTATGGCTCCATGGCTGGGCCTGCGGCGGGCTGCAGCGTGCTCTGCCCCTCCCTGCAGTTTGCAGTGGAGCAGGTGCTCCAGGAGGAACACTTCGACAGAGGCCGAGTGGCCCTAATGGGTGGTTCCCATGGTGGCTTCCTGTCCTGCCACCTGATTGGTCAGTATCCGGAGACATACAGTGCCTGTGTGGCACGGAACCCTGTGATCAACATCGCCTCCATGATGGGCTCCACCGACGTCCCGGACTGGTGCGTGTGCCCTCCCCCTATCTGCCCCACACCCCGTGGAGCCACCCGGGCCCCAGAGCTCCAGGGGCAGCCTCGGCTCGGTCTCTTGCAGGTGCGCAGTGGAGGCTGGCTTCCCCTACAGCAGCGACTGCCTGCCAGACCTCAGCATGTGGGCTGAGATGCTGGACAAGTCGCCCATCAAGTACACTCCTCAGGTACACAGCCCCCTTCCCCCGCCCTGGCCCAGTGTGCCGCCAGTCCATCCAGAGCCTGGAGCTCTGCTAAGCACAACACTTTGTGCACCCAGGTGAAGACGCCGCTGTTACTGATGCTGGGCCAGAAGGACCGGCGGGTGCCCTTCAAGCAGGGCATAGAGTATTACCGCGCCCTCAAGGCCCGGAACGTGCCCGTGCGGTGAGTGCAGCAGGACAGCCCTGGCAGCTGGTGGGCGGGTGAGCAGGGGAGGACCCTCCAACCTCGCACATGACTGCCCAACCCCCACAGGCTCCTGCTGTACCCCAAAAGCACCCACGCACTCTCAGAGGTGGAGGTGGAGTCAGACAGCTTCATGAACGCTGTGCTCTGGCTGCACACGCACTTGGGCAGCTGAAGCCCCGCCTCTGCGCGAGCCAGTTGGCAGATGGCACGCTTGGCTCTCGGGGAGCCCCAGGGTCTGGCAGAACAGCTAGAGGGTTCCTGGGCTCTGGTCTCCACGGATGGTGAGCCAAGAAGTGGGGGCTACGTGGTTACAATAAATGAGGACGGAGCTTGGTTCCTGCTGGTACTTTGTGCCCAGCCATGCCTAACCCCAGCCCCACCCTCGGGGTGCAGAGACCTTAGGCCCTGTGTGCGGTAGCCGGAAGGACCTCGTCTGCCTCCAGTGTGAGAGGGGAGGGGACAACGAGGAATTCAGCCACTGCTTGTCCTGGCCTACTGGGATGCCACCAGGCTAGCTCCCTCTGCTGCAGCCCCTTTTTTAGAAACTGCCCTATGCCGCCCTTCTCCCAGCATTTTGTTGGGACTAGTGAGGCCCTGCTCTTCCATAGCACCCACAGGCTGAGGTAGCCCTAAGGGTCAGATCACCCAGCCCAGGGCACGCAGGGCACAAGCTGCCCCCCACCCCCAGGCCATAGCAAGGAGTTGCTACTTCGTTCCCTAGAAGCAGAGACTAAGAAGCACCCTGCACGGGCATAGAGCAAGAAAGGCAGCTTTATGTCTGACAGGAAGCTTCGTCCCCCGCAAGGTACATGGGGTTGAGGCCAGGCCTAGCCCAGCCGCATGGCCTTGTGAATCCAGTCCACAAACACAGAGACACGCACGAAGACGGCTGGCCAGCGGGGCCGTGCGCACACTCGGTTGGGAATTATCATTCCCTCCAGGACCCAGCAGTCGTGGGTAAAGCAGGCAAGGGGGCCTCCGTAGTCTCCCTGGTAGGTGGGAGAGCTGGTGAGGGGCCTGGGCCACGGCAGAGACTAGTCCCCTGGGGATGGAGTAGTACACTTTCAGCTGCCCATACCCTCCCCTGGCTTGCCAGCGGCCCTGCCACTGACCTCACAGGCACCCACGGGGGCCAACAGTCCCTTAGTGCACATCTCCCTCTCCTGCACACGCCCGCGGTACTTGACGTTGCACTCCTGATTGGAGATGACATTCAGTGAAGCCACGTTGAGGACCGTGTTGTTCCCTGTACCTGCCGTGGAGGGAATGGGAAGAAGGGAGGGCCTGTGGGCAGGCCCAGGGGCCTGGAGCGGCCCCTACCCCTGCACTGTGCTCCTACCTTTGGTCTCACCCCAGCCTGCGATCTCACACTTGGTCCCTGGAGGCACCACGTACCGCTCAGGGGGCAAGCAGATCAGGGCCACACGCTGGTTCAGGGTCACAGATCTTTAGCAGAAACGAGGGCACTCAGGGCCTGAGGCCACAAGGCCCCGCCTACCTAATACCCTGCAGACTTATCACACACCTCTCCAGCTTGAGCAGAAGAAACTGGGAGTCCGGGGGCCCACACACCATTTTGGCTATTGGGATCCGCTGCAGGCCTGGCTCCGTGGGCTGCGGGTTCTGGAACATGGTGCCCAACCACACCTCGTAGCCCGTGAGCGGCTCACGGCTGGGAGAGGAGCTCTGCTCAGTGTGGTTTGGGGTCTGCTGCCCCAAGGCCCACCTGCTGGCTTGCTTGGGGAAGGGGAGGGTGGATCTGGGTGGGTGCCCAAACCCCAGGGAGGCTCACCAAGAGGGAAAGCACTGCTGGGCGGTCAGCACCCACTGCTCCTTCACCAGGGACCCTCCGCAGAAGTGCTGGCCCTGCCTGGAGAAACAAGGGTTAGTACAGGGAACAGTGAGTCCTGGCACGGGACCTGCTGCCTCTTGGCGAGGGACAGGCACGCACCTCCCCCGGCACAGAGGATCCAGCCTCGGCCCCTCTCCCAGGGAAACAGGCAGTTGCGTCTCACCGGTTGCGCAAGCTGACGGTCCAGGGCGAGTTCCCGGGCTGGCCCCCGACCACGCGCAGCTTGGAGCGGTGCTGGTCCAGGCGCGGCGCCCGCTTCCCACATTTCTCAAACAGAACCTGGTCTAGGGGGGTAGGATGGGCCCGATGGAACCCCCACTGTGTGCAGATGGGAGGCAAAGGGCCCCCCACACACACCTGCCCAAGTCTGTACCTGGGGGCTCCAGGATGGATGGTGGTTGGTCGTCATCTGAAAGAGCGAAGTTCACCCAGTTTAGAAAGTCAGCCTTCTGCTGCGGAGCTGGGGGCGGGGCGCGGGGGACTGTCACCGGCCCTCACTGCAGCGCCGCAGTGCACAGTAGTCAAACGGAGTCCTGGGGTCCATAGTGTAGCACCAGGGCCCGTGGCTGTCTCCATCAGGGTTCCGGCAGAAGTTCTCCTCCAGGTGCGCGTCGGGAGCGGAGGTGGGCGTGAATCTAGGTGGATGGGGGTGCAAATTCTTAGCAGCGTAATCCCAAATCCCCGCTGGTCTGCAGTTTGAGAGGCCACGGGCCTGTGGCGTTAGGGTTTCGGGCTGGAGGCGCAGACCAACTCACTGCGACTTGTGCGGTGTCTCCGCGGACCAGCGCTGGCACGGGACGCCCTTGCGGGTCTTGCTCACAGAGCCGCGGTACTGCTCCCCCGTGCCGTAGTAGCAGTCTGCGGCGGGTGGGCGGAGGCGGCCGTTAGCTGGTTCTCGCTGGAGCCCTGTGGTTAGGTGCCTCTAGCCCCAGCTCAGGCCTTACCCTCAGGTCGCACATCGTCCGTGCAGCGCCGGATCTGGTAGCAAAAGGCCACCCGCATGCCAGGCCGCGATGTGAAGCACCAGGGCGCCTCCGAGCCATCGGGGTTTCGGCAGAAGTTCTCCCGAAGGTCCCTGGGCAGGTGCTCTGCTCAGCGTAGGCGGGTCCCAGCCTGTCTCGGGCTGGAGCCCAGCCTCCGACTCCGCCCCGGGCCCCGCCCTCCTGCAAGCCCCGCCCTGGGATCGCTCCAGGGATAACCTGCCACCTCACTTGCACGGGTATTTCTCGGGCACAAAGCGATGTTGATGTGGATTCTGCGAGTCCCAACGCTGGCACGGCATGCCCGCCGCGGTGGTGTTGGCCGTGCCCCGGTAGCCCTCACCCTTCCCACGGAAGCAATTGAGCGGCGTGCCTTCTTGGCGCGGCCGTGCCTCGGGCCCTTGGGTGAACCGAGTTCAGCTGGAGCCTGAGCCAGAGCTGAGATCGGGGCTGGGGCTGAGGCCGAACCCCACTTCCAAAGATCCCCCTCAAGGGCACGCCCAGCTATGCACGCCCCTTTTCCCAGCTCCACCACGCCCCCACGCTTCCTAGGTGCCCCTCAGGCCCGGCCTTAGCGGCCCACCTACCGCAGCTGGGGATGTCGCAGAACTCTCGCTCCACCCGAGGGTCGGTGGTATAGCACCAGGGCCGCTCGGAGCTGTCAGGGTTCCGGCAGTAGTTATCGTCCAGGTTTTTGTCAAGGAACCTGGGGGAGCGCAGCCAGGCGTGAACAAGATCCTGGGACTCAGGCACTGTCTGGCCCCAACCTACTACCTTATAATCAGCCGCATCCTGGTGTCCTAGACCCTCCCCTAGCCTGGCCGCCAAGGTGCCAAGCCTGCCCACGCGTACTTGCCCGGCTCAAAGGGGTGCGGGTGTGGGCGCTGCAGGTCCCAGCGCTGACACTCGCGTCCTGACTCGGTGCGGTCCACTGAGCCACGGTAATCCTCCCCATTGCACCAAAAGCAAGTGGCTGGAGACACAGGGCAGTCGGTTTGCGGACGGGTGTGGGCGCGCTCCTCCCAGCCCTGGCTCTACCCGAAGCTGCTTACCCTCCCGGCACGATTTAATGCCGCAGCTCTGAAAGCGCACAGCAGGGTCCGTGGTGTAGCACCAGGGACCTCTGGGGTCATTGTCAGGGTTTCGGCAGAAGTTCTCCTCCAAGCCATTCTGGAGTGTGGGCGTGTACCTGGGTACAGGGAGCTGCAATAAAGTGCGTGCTGGGGGCAGCCATCCCCAGCAGGGACAGAGGGGAGGTGTCCCTCTTACTTGTGGTCATTGGGGACTCTGTGGCTCCAGTGCTGACAGGTTAGGCCACCCATGGTGATGGCCATGGTACCCCGGTACTCAACCCCGTTGTCCATGATGCAGGTCCGTACATAACCTGGGAGCGATAGACCCACATCAGCAAGGCCTGAGGCCCCAGCACCCCTATCCCTGGTCACCCTTCTCGGCAGCCACTCGACCTTTCTTTTGGAAGAGATCGCAGCGCCCTGAACGCTGCAGCCATGTGTGGGGTGAGTCCTGGGTCCATGGCAGGAGCTGGCAACCATGGCTGCTCACGTTGTAGTGGAAGGCTCTGGGAGGAGGCACAGGGTCACCAGTGTCAGGTTCCTCTGCCCCCAGCCTTACCCAGGTCCTGTCACCACTCACCTGCAGTCCAGAAGGGGCCCGCAGCGGCGTGCACACTCCTCAGCATCTGCCGCGTCCTCTTGCCAAGGCCCGGGCCCTGCAGTGTGCAGCGGGTGTTGCAGCTCCGTGCCCCGGAGAACCTGGAAGTCGTTCAAAGGCGAGCGCTGCCCTGCGGGGTGGACATGTGTGTCAGTTCATGTATGTCAGCACATCCACACTTTGCTTATTCAGGGGATCAAAGCTACAAGGCTCTGGGATAGACTGTGGACACAGTCAGGGGTCAGACCCCCACGCAGGGCGGGTGAAGCAGGCCCAGACATGGTAGTTATCACCTGTGCTACTGTTACACAGCCAAGGCTCAGATCTAAAACATACATTCTATGGGAGTGGTGGGAAACGTTGCTTGCCCCATGGACCTGCTTACATTGCATCTTTCAGCTGAGAATGCCAGGTCCGGAGCGGCCATACTACCCAGGGAGAAGCCCAGCCCAGGCATTGACTCCAAGTCTGGTCCCTCACCAGCACGAGGGCCTATGCTAGGTGGGAGGGACAGATCAGGCTGGTGAGGGGCGACTGCCCACATGTGTGCATATATTCTGTCCTAACGCTGTCCCGGTGCTGCAGCAGACATTCTAATGTGGCCTGAATGGGCACTGTGTGTCTATGTTCCTGGGGCCTCCCGGCTCTGTCCAAGAAGCCAAGGTCACTCGGTGCTCCGTGCCCAGTAGGGAAGTGAGCTCCTGGCTTGAAGAGCAGGACAGGTCTGAGGCTCGCCCTTTCCTGAAGGCACATAGAGGGACCTGTGAGGGGCAGGGGAGAACACACTCACCAGGGGCCCATGAGCACTGAATCAGAAGGAGCAGGAGTGGAAGCCACCCCATCCTCCTAGCTAGAGGCCGCACTGTGACCCACCACAGCCCCATCCGGGAAATTGTGAAACCTGTCCTTACGGGATTGGGTGGCTCTGGCTCCACACCTCAACTCCAGGCCTGCTGGGGCCTGACCTGAGACCCAGTGACAGGAATAGGGGTGGGGCCAGGCCTCAGGCCCCCTGGGCGGGAGGCCAGGGCCCTCACTCTGGCCCAGTTAGCCCTGAGTGTGGTCTCTCTACATGGTGGGCAGCTGTTGAAAGGGTCAGCGGCAACTGGAGGTGCCCTGGGGTCGGGGCGGAGGCCCCCTGCAGCCTAGGCTGCTCTGACGGGAACGGCAGATCAGACACCTTTGCTGCCAGAGGCCTGGGCTGCAACCCCTAGGCAGTGAGAGTAAAACTTTTTGAGCCTGGTTTCCCTTGGAGAGCCGGTTCCCTGCCCCAACCCCAAAGCAGCCTGCCCCTTTTGCTGACTTATCAGCTCCAGCTGTAGGCAGATGGGCCCACACCCCTGACAACAGAGCGCAGAGAGGACACCCTTGCTCCACCACAGGTGCCATCCCAGGGAAGGCAAGCCAGGCCACCGGTCTGGCCCGAAGGGAGGTGGGGGTAATAGGTAGCAGGGACCTGGCAGGAGCGGCCTTTTTAGGGGACATCAGGGCCCCTAAGGACGGCTAGGGATAGGCGGCCTGGGGCTCCCAGTTAGGACATTGTGTTCCGATATGACTAGGCTAGGAGCTCTTCCTGCGCGGGCAGGGGTCAGAGGCAGCTGGGCGGTCGGGCCGTGCAACGGGGCAGAGGCCCGGAACAACCCGGCTGCCGGTGGCGGAAGGGGCCTCCTGGCGGAGGCCAGTCGCGGGCCGCTGCGCGTGCGCGGCGGGCGCTTAGTTTGACCCCGGACGCGCGCCGTAGCCGAGAGGCTGGGCGGATGTTGTGAGCCGGGGCGCCGCGGCGGAGGCTGGGGGTGAGTGAGGGGCGGCCCGGCTCCGAGCGGGGCGGGCCCCCGCGGCCCCCCTCGCGGCCCCGTCCGTCCAGTGAGAAAGTGTCTCAGCCTGCGGTGCGGGGCTCAGCGCTGGAGCTGGCCCGGAGGATCCCCCGGATCTTGGGGCCGGGCAGAGGCGACTTGGGGGAGACGTGCACTGCCCTCCGCGCCCTTGGGCTCCGAGATGGGGTCGGTTCTGTTCCGACCGCGGATCTCTCGGCGGCTCGGGGCAGGGAGCCCTGGAGCAGAGTCAGGGTCCGCCTCTCACCTGGGTCCTCAGCACCTGACACTCCCAGAGTGGATGTCTGGAAGGTTTGCTGACCAAATGAGTGACCGCGTCTAACCTGTCCTGCATCTGCCCTGGCGTGAGGGGGGCCGGGTCGTGGACGCCCGTGGAGGGCCCGCGGTGGACGGCAGGGCGGGAGAGGCACCTTCCCGAGGGTCAGGCGTGGTTCGGCCCGGGAATGGGCAAGGGTGTGTGGTGGGAGCAGAGGACCTGTTGGAGGTGAGATAAGAGGCGGGGCTGCCAAGGAGGGAGTGCTGTGTAAGGCAGTGCTGGAGGGCCGCCTCCAGACCCGTGCTGCCCAGTGGAACTTTCTGGGATGGGGGAAGTGTTCTGTATTTTCACTGTGTAGTACAGCAACCACTAGCTACGTGTGGCCACTGAATCCTTGAAATGTGGCTGATATAACTGAGAAATTGAATGTAAAAAAAAATTAACTTTAGTTCAGATTAGAATGGCCCCATGTGGCTAGTGGCTACTGTGTTGGACAGGACAGCCTTAGGCAATGAGGCTGGCTCCAGCGACTTTGCAGCTTTTAAAGCAGCTGTCGCAACACCCGGTGAGGAATCGAGAGCAGTGGGAAGAGCAACAGGTCTGCGAGGAAGGCTGGGCAAGGGTGGTGCGCTGATGGAGGGGCAGGCGGCGAGTGTGAGTGGGAACCAGAAGACTGGCAGGACTTTGGACAAGAGAAGGGAGGACCCTGGAGCTGAGGAAGGAGGTCCCAGCCTTGGGTGTCAGCAGGACTTGCAGCTGCAGACGACACCAGGCCCTGGGTGATGGGCTACACTCGAGGGAGTGTGGTGCAGGGTGTGCGCTGGACCCTCTTTGGCTTATGACGGAGAAGGGTATAGAGGCTCTGCTCCTAGGGCACCTCACTTTGGACACTTTGGTCTCATTTCCCCAGGGTTGAGGCATTTGGTTTGGTTCAGCAAACATGTATCTGGCACCTGCTCTGTGGGGCCCTGTGCTGAGCAATGGGACATGGTGGGGCCCTGTTACTTGGGCCTGTCACATGGGTCCCTACACGCCCTCCCTCCCTATGCAGGAAGCTGGGAGCCCCTGCTTTCCTCCGCCTGGCGTCAGTACGCGTGTGAGTGTGCATGCACCTGGCCTCGCCTGCTCCCAAGCCTTCCTGTCGCCCTAGGACTGAGGTCAGTGTGCGAGCCCTTGGCTGGCTTCAAATAGCCTCTGCCTCCGGCTCAGCCCCCAGGACCACTGGCTGCCCACAAGAGATGAAGGATGGCATCCAAGGGGGCCGGCATGTCCTTCTCCCGCAAGAACTATAGGCTGACCTCAGACGCAGAGAAATCCAGGGTCACAGGTAAGGGCAGGCAGGCCTGGGAGGAGGCTCCTTGTGTTGAGGGAAGGAGAAGGAAGAAAACAGCAGCAAAGTCCCAGGTCCAGGGGGCCTCGGGCCTAGCTGCGCCCCTTGAACCTGTCAGCCAGCTGCGCCCCACCATCTGCCCTGGAGCAGTGCCCCCGACATGACTGCCCTTCGGCCACCCCTGTGGCCGGCCTAGGACCTGGAGCCTCTGGGGCCAGCAGAGCTGAGAGACGCACTAACCATATGACCCTTCTCTTCCCTCTGCCCTGTGGCCCAGGCATTGTGCACGAAAAGCTACTGAATGACTACCTGCACCGTGTCTTTTCCTCTCCTGACCACGCACCCACCGCAGCCACCAGCAGGTATGGCCTGGTGGGTGGCCCTCCCTCCTCTTCAGGAGACCAGAGGCTGGAGGCTGCGTGTGGGGACGGGGGCTGGGCTCCGGGCAGGCTGGCTTGGGTTCTGTTCGCACTGCCGCTCCTGGCTGTGAGACCTTTGGCCAGAGTGTCTGCCTCCTGGACTCCGCTTCTTCCTCTCCTCTGGCAGTGCTAGCGCCTTCCTTCCGAGGGGGTTGTGGGGGTTGAGGGGCGGTGCCCGGTCAGCAATCAGCACAGCCCCGGCTCCATAGTTGGCACCTGGTCCCATGTGCATCTGCCTGCCCCCCTCCCTACCTTGGCCCTGTAGCCTCCGCCTGCATCTGTAAAGCACAGACCTCACCAGCCCCTTTTCCTTAAAAGTTTAATGCATTGAACTTTAATCCACATCAAAGTTATGAGTGTGTTTTAGGAGAAACTTAGAGGAAGAAAAAGCACCTGTTGTCTCACTATTCTAACATGACTAATTTGGGCAGGATTTTTTATCTCACAATCTATGTAGTTTGGATTATGCTGTATAGAAAAACTTGTTTTAATTAAAACATTTTTGTTGCCATCAGTCCTTTTTAAAAAAAGTTTTATTGAGGAATAAGTGACACGCAATAAATCTCGTGGGTTTTAACATCCCGTGAAACCATCACTATCATCAAGATAACAGACATACCCCTCCCCTCCAAAAGCATATTGAAGTTTCAATCCTATTTTTGTCAACAGACAGTATCCCCTGAGTGTGTTTCTATGTTACAAATTGATCCTGGTGGGTACCTTTTAGGGCCGGGGGTCTGCCCCGGCCTTGCCCTGGTCTGGAGGGCCTTTTGCTTCTGTAGACGACGCTGTGGGGGTGCCCAGGCGTGGAATCACTTGGCTAGAATATTTGAACTGCAATCACTTTTGGGATTGGTGCTAAATTATTTCTTGCAAATTCTGCTTCCTTACCAGGAGGCCTGGGTATCCCTGCAGCCCAGCCTCTTGCAGCCTGGCCTGTTCTGTCTTTCACAGCCTCTGCTCTCTGGGCAGGCACAAAGGGTTGCAGCTGCCTGTTCCATTTCAGTGGCCATGGTGGCCAAGGGCTCCCTACCTCTGGAGGGCTGCTGCCCACTTCTGCTGTAGCCCCGTCCTGGCCTGTTCCCAGGGCCATTTGATCCCTGCTTCATGTGACACCGCAAATGGTCCTGCTGCCCCAGGTCCTGTGGCTGCCAGGAGGGAGAGCAGGTGGCAGGGCCATCAGTCAGCGGCCGTGTGGGTGGAGGACTCTGGGCGAGGGCCTGCGCAGGCAGTGCTAGGGTTGGCCAAGTGGGCAGCACCGCAGGCTCTTGGAAAAGCCGAGTCTCAGGCCACCCGCCCACAGCGGCTGTGGCGAGCAGGCCCAGGACCAGAGCAGCCCTCCCCAGTGGGCCAGGAAGACTACCGAGGAAGCCTCCTTTGTGCCTGGACCGTTGACTGGGGTGTTCAGATGTGAGATTGGCTGCAGCCTTTACCACTGCTCTCGGAGCACGCCATTCTATAGCCACCACGTGGCGTGCAGGCAGCTTCGTGCATCTCCACCGCCTGCAGCTCAGGGTCGGGGTCGCTCACAGCTGGGAGGAGCATGTGGTCCCTGAGCACAAGCCTGCGTCGAAGCCACTGTGCCAGAGAATGGTGCTTTGACCCATCTACGTCCCCCTCCAGACCCTCCTTTCCAGGCAGATGAATGTTGGGGGGGGTCTGGGATTAGAGGTGGGAGAGCAGGTGCGCTCCCTGTGGCCTGGATCCAGGTGGGCACTGGGCCTCTTTCCTGCCTGAGACCTGCTGGCTTCTCCCACCCTGTTCCCCGCTATTCTTAGCAGCTGAACTCAGGGCAGAGCTGGCCAACATGAGACAGAGCCCTTTCTCCCCTGAGCGTGTATGCTGGGAGGGTGAGGGGCCACTAGGGCAGATTTCCCCAGCCCTTTGGCTGGGGCGGGTGGCAGAGAGACGGGCCACGAACTCTGCTGGCCCGTGCAGGTTGGTACAGCACAGCCAGCCAGCAGCACCGAAGGCGGAGCCCTTCCTACCTCCAGGACGCGTCTGACTCAACACACAGACGGCCCTTACTGGGTGGTGGGGAGGCTGGAAGTCTGGCCCCAGTGGGATC